TTTCAGGTGTGAAGAGTGGAGAGTTAAGGTGAAGAGCAGTAGAGTTTCTTACTGAACTGCTCAGGTGCTAACAAATAAACAATGTGCCCTGGAAAATCTCACTGCCCTGAGCTCTCTACTCCCTTAGTGTTTCCGACCAGCACAGGTTTTCTGCAGACCTCAGGCCACCTATGTCTGAAGACTTTCAAGATCTCTAAGTATGTACCTGCATGATCACAGAATGAGTGCTGGTTCCATCTCATAGCTAGAGCTAGGTAGGGGAAAAATGAAGCTGTGGCTACAGACATCATAATGGCTTTTTTACAAGCACTACACATACTGTGTTGAGTACCTCATATAGATATACCAGGGTTCATATCCCTTTTAGATGAAAAATCATCACTCTTTGGTGATAAATGCCTGAGTGGAGTCTGCCACAGTTCTCAAACCACATGACTCAACTCCATAACCGCTAGTCTGTAGGTCTACTTCCATAGTGAGTTGTCTGCGGGGTGCGTCGGTAAGTGGAGGTAGAACAAAATCAGGTGGTTTCTATTTTCTTCCCCCTGCTCACACACCTTTTCAGAGTTAGAAAATGCTATTAGTTTTTAACTTCAGCTTAGAGTCTGTTCACCTATCTCTGAACCTTCTCATAAATTTCGCAGGGTTAGTCACTTTATCAAGAGGATTTGAAGTCTTAATGCGAATTAATTATGAAGTCTTTCGGTGGCAGTGTGGAGTAGTACTTGTGTGTAAGATGAGGAACTATCTAAACATTTCTGCACATGTTTTTCTCAGAACTTATGCTTACAGTGGAAATTTCTCAGCATTAAATGTCATCAATTTTGCCACACTCAGGAAGTTGCAAACCATGTGGCTATAACCTCAGTAAAATGAAACTTGACCGAAACCTAATAATCAGCTACTGGTCATTTTCTTAATTTTTTTCTCTACCCCCCGGCAATATGATTTAAAAAACAAAAAAAGCTACTAGTAACATATTTTCAATTGAAGGTAATATTCAGGCTTATAAATATCAATTATAGAGTTAATTGAAAACCAGAACTGAAATGGTCTGAATTTTGTATTTATCAAAAACAAAAAACAAAACACACACACACACGTATACAAAACTGAACTGGATTTGATGATGTAAGCCTATATCCCAGCTACTACTCAGGAGGCTAAGGCGGGAGGATTAAAGCCACCCTAGACAATCTAGTGTACCTTATCTCATAAATATATCTATTTATAATAAGTGAGTAAGTAGGTAAATAAATAATAAATAAAAGATAGAAGTGGGTGATTCAGTTCTTGCCTTATGTGTACATGGCGCAGGATTCAATACCATGTATTGAATTTTGTTTTTGTATTGGAAAATTTGGTGGGGCTAACATTTCTCTTACCTTGTCAACTGCCATAGCTAAATTTTGAAATATAAAAATACCTCCGGGACCAGGTAACCTCTGCATACTAGAAAGACTTTACAGTCACAGAAAACTATCTGTAAACAATTAACTCCAACAGGTCGATTGTGAGTTTCTTGGTGCACATTGTTTGGTCCAAAAGACCTTTATTGAACAAGTCTAAATAATTACATATGACTGGGCATCTTGCCAGGTTTAAACTTTCAGGGCCAATAAGAGTATCCTTTAAATATTAGCTTCATGACTTTCTAACTCTATCCTCATCTGCTCTTAAAGGACTCAGACTGAAACTTCCTTCTAAAAAAAAAAAAAGAAAAGAAAGAAAAGAAAAGAAACTTAACAGAAGGTACAGTCCCTTAGCTCATTGTGAGCTCCTGCCTTTCTGGGTCTTTCCACTCAGTGATCTATATATGATTAAATAATGAAAATCGGATTTCCATCTGTTGATTGGGCATCTTTTGCATTGAACAGACTGATGTTATAAGTCCAGAGACTTAGGAATTAAAGACATGCAGCAACATCTTAAATAGGGACATATTTCTGTAGGCACATCCTCATTAGGGCAGGTCTTCATGTTCGGTCCTTTGTCCTGGATACTTAAACTTCTTGTTTTTCTATTTTTCTCTCTTCCTCCCTTTTATAAAAGTGCAGACTTTCTTTGCTATTGACTTCTGAAGGTCTCTTTTCAAAAGGATGCCCCTAAATTCTCAACTGATATGAAGTTCCATTTTCAAGGGATAGAAATTGTGGAAGAGTTTCATTCTGTAAGATATTGGTATTTTTTATTATCAGTTGGTTCCACAGTTCCTTTCCCACCTAGAATTTGCTTTCATTGCACTCTCTTGAGTCACACTCTCTTGAACAAACTGAGAGAGTAGGGTTAGTACAATGTAAAAGAAAAGCTGAGGTCGGTATCCGTGTATTGTGCATTAACGTGTTCTAGACTAATCTTCTAAGTGTGGTAACCAAAGTCAGGAAAAAGCCTACTTTGCTGAGGAGGAAATTGAGGTAACCATGTGCGTCATACCTGATACGGCCCTTCACGTGAGATTAGATCATTTAGAGAGATTGAAACATGGTGTTGTCTCCAGCATTCAGAGTAACATTTTTTTCTTGCCTGACTTTTCTTTATTATCTTTCATTTCTTGTTTTTTAAAATCGATCATTACTGTTTTGATTATGTGTTTGTGCATTCTGGGTTGAGAACTGTTCATAGGGATGAAGTTACATGCAGAGACTAGAGAAGCTGGAACCCTCTGGACTTTCAGTCTCAGGTGGCTGTGCACTATTGGTACTGGTGCTAGGAATTAAACCCAGGTTCTGGTTTTAATCAGAACAGGAAGATCAGCCTGTGCTCTAAACACACAAACCTGTTTAGACCTCTTATTTCAGTTTTTAGTGTATATGGTGTGTGTGTGTGTGTGTGTGTGTGTGTGTGTGTGTGTATGTGTGTGTGTGAGAGAGAGAGAGAGAGAGAGAAAGAGAGAGAGAGAGAGAGAAAGAGAATTTGTATAAGTACATGTGTGCCAGGGTGTCCATAGAGTCCAGACTAGAGTATCTGGCTCCTTGGAGCTGGAGTTACAAATGTTTGTGAACTACCCACTTGGTTGCTAGGATACAAGCTCCAGCTCTCATAATTGAGGAGCTAGTGCTCTTAAACACTGAGCCATTTTCAACTCCACATTTTCTTTAAAAATTGATAGGTAATTTGGAGACAGTCCCCTGTAGGTTGGTAAGAGTGGCTTAACTGGAAGGTTCCAATTGTATATTGGAAATAATCACCATACTCAATAAACTATAGCAAGTATTGTCTGAGTGTTCCTCCTGGGCCAGATTTTACTAGACACCGGACATTTAAAAGCCTAAGCAAATGAATTCTATCATGAGACCCCAGTCTTGTGTAAAGGCAACTTTCAGGGTGAAAAAATGGAGGATTTCTGTAACCAACTATGTATAAGGGGGGGCTTGGAAACAGAAAAAAGCCCAGAAAGGGTTCAGAAAACTTTCACATAGCAAGCCAGTCTTGTATCATAGTTTGAGGACAAAATAGAGGGAAGATTTGGCTGAAAAAATAGAAGGCCAGGCACTGAAAAAAATACCTAATATACAGAAAGTCATGGTGGGAATGGTGGATCTGAAAGACTGAGCTGACTGCGCACGGTCAGGTGTGGCCAGAGATGATCACGAGGAAGGGCAAAGCCCTTGGCAAAGGGTTTACATATGTCTACATGTTATGCTAAAGTTAATGAGAGGCCATCAGATGTTTCAAGGAAGGAGAATGATTTTACTTGAGTCATGAAGATTTTTCTAGAGACTATGTGGGAGTGGATTTGAACATGGACTATCTATTGGAACGACATTATAATATTCCACACAAGAGTCTGAATTGTGATAGCGGCCCTGGTTGTAGATGGGATGTTGGGAATATTAGAAGCATTTCTAGAGGAAGGATCCATATTTGCAAATTTGTCTGAGGAAGATCAAAGCAGATCAAAGAACGAAGTAACTTTACATTTCAGTGACTAGCTCTCAGTTTCAGAAAAAGAAATGGCGGGGTAGAAAGAAAATAGGTGAAAGAATTTTCTAGTGAAGATGAAGTATTTGTGCATGTCAAACTGAAATCTGGAAGATTTCAGTAACAGGAATTCAGTAACATGATTCTGCATTTAGGAGATGATTGTGGAATCACTATACTTTCTTTTTTTTAATTTTTTTCATTTATTTATTTATAAAAATTTCCACTTCCTCCCCTCCTCCCAATACCTTTCCGCTCCCCCCAATCCCTCTCCTCCTCCCTCTCCAGTCCTAAGAGCAGTCAGGGTTTCCTGCCCTGTGAGAAGTCCACGTTCCTCCCCCCTCCCTCTAGGTCTAGGAAGGTGAGCATCCAAACAGACTAGGATCCCAAAAAGCCAGAACATGCAGAAGAAACAAGTCCCAGTGCCATTATCAATGGCTTCTCAGTCAGCCCCCATGTCAGCCACATAGGTCCAAATGAGAAGCAGAAGGAGGGAGAACATGAGCAAGGAAGTCAGGATCAGAGGGAACCTTCATCTGACAATGGATGGAGATAGAGACAGAGACCCACACTGGAGCACGGGACTGAGCCCCCAAGGTCCAAATGAGGAACAGAAGGAGGGAGAACATGAACAAGGAAGTCAGGACCGTGAGGGGTGCATTCACCCACTGATACAAGGGGACTGATCTAATGGGAGCTCACCATGGCCAGCTGGACTGGGACTGAATGAGCATGTGATCACTATACTTTGTTAACTGAAGATTGACTATTCAACATGTTATAATAGAAATGCTCTCTAAAATAGAATAGTAAAATATCTTAAATAACTTTAGTCTAGAAAATATAATATCTCCATGGTATATTTTATTATTATTATTAGGGTTGAGAAAAATTAAAAATATTTACATATAAAAATAAAACATATCTACAATTATTTTTACTAGATAAAAACAGAAAGTATATGGTTAACTCTATCTACATATCAGATAACAGAGTAAAGAAATAAACAGAATATTGTCACTCAAAATTCACTGTTGATCGGAATAAAGTATCTAATTTCAGACTACGTTTTCCAGCAATTAAAAAAATGAGTGTATGTTTGGCTTTAGAAGTCAGTCCAACTGAAACCTCGTCTATAAAATATCCCAATAATCTATATAAATATACAGTTTTTATTATTATATTTTTACACTTATGAAATAAAGGCAAGAACAGCATACATCACGCACCACCATGGTATTTTGCATTTTGTCTTTTTTCTGCTATAGGCAGATGAACTTTAACACATAGTATTTAATAAATACACACGTTGCTCACACTCACTGGGAATTTAGAGATATATATTTACATGTGCAATCATTCATATTAAAACACTTTGCACTTTGGAATGCATTTGGAACACTTCTATTTGATCCTGTAGCAGAAGAGCTCAATGTATAGAATTTCATACATATGGAGATGCGGATGTGTGTTCAGTCACTGGCCTCTGTGATGACAATCTTCTGTACCATGTCAGACAGATTTTCTGACTCCAGGTCCTCTTTGCCATTGTCTGAGTTTCCTGAGGAGACGTAACAGCCAGAGTCCCTGGGGCAGTCATCTAACTGTGACTTGCTTTCAGGTCTTAAGGACAGAGGTGCAGATTCATTTTCTTGCTCTTCAGTGGCTGCAAATGGGAAAAGCATAGTGGTTAGGAAGAGCCGAGACAACTTTTATAGGACTGTCAGATGCAAGCGTGATCCTAGTCTAACTATTCCAATCTCGACGTGACTTCAGTGGAAACGCCTGTGAATAAGATACTCGTTTAATTGTTTAAACCAGTTATGTGCGTGCACCCAGATGTTCAAACTCGCGGAAATCAACCGTTGCTTATCAGTTTTCTCTTTTATCTTCATGTTATTCATGTGAACTGCCTACATGAGCAAAGACCAATATGAACTCTCATTTTACATTAATAATAAGTTGCCAAGGAAAACAGATTGTATCCACAGTATGACAGATGCTTGGTCCAAATATTCCTTAAGGGATCATTAGGAAAGTCACGTGTAGTTTGAAGTATAATCCAAGTGATGAACAGTTCTGGAATTATGAATATGTGGATATGTAACTAAGAGATCACTCACTGTGACAAACTGTACAGCAGGTCTTCAGACACTTGGAATTTAGCGAATACTCTTTGAAATATCCAAAGTTCTCCTACATCTGCATTCACCACAGAAAGAGATATAAGGAAACGAGGCAACTTTTTCAGTACAAAACTCCAAATTGCCAGAACTGCTTTGTGAGATTCAGTTTGTCTTATGCGTCTTCTTAGTTCTAAATAACAATAGTTTATTTTGAGATTTGCTCACTAAAGCAGATTTATATACAATAAAGGTATTGTCTTTTAGAATGAAGAATCTCAGAACTTGTACAAAAGGTTTCTCTAAAGAACCTAAGCAACCTTGTGTCCTATGACTCCTGTCTGGGATCCTTTGCCACCAGACTACTTCTGGTCTCTGTGAAGGTTCTCTGTCTGCTCTGATACCAGAGCTGGGGCTTTCTCTGCTTAGTGAGCTAGGGGCTTCAGACAGAAAATGAATCTGAACTGCCAACTCCTATCTGTCTCACCACAGCGGCACACCCTCCGTCTGCAGCTTGTAGCAGGGACTCTTCACTTTGCTCTTCTCTGCTCCACACCGGGATGGGCAAGCACATAAATTGACAGTTGAGGCAAGAACTGTGCCTCATATTCTTAATCCTGTTGCCCTGCACGTATCCACTTCCAATTAGAGGACAATATAACAGAGCTTCAAGATCCAAAATTGTTTTCAGCTGACTCACATATCACCAATTAGCTTATCTGCCTTTATCTTGCACGTCATCTTCTGTTTTTCAAGAGCATTGTCTATGTTCCATCTTGTGGAAGTTGGTTTATGTTCCTTCATCTAACCTCACTAGCAATCGGCCCTCACTAACGTCTGATAGACATGAGAAACGAACGCTGGTGATTTCAGCGATTCCTGTATGTAGAGAACAACTTCCCTTTCTTGTATCAGAATGCTAGTAACTATTCCTCACACTTAGATCATTTGAGAAAATGCTTAACATATTATCTGATTCTGTAGTTATGCAATAAGTACTTATTCAAAATTACTGAAACAATGTTAAAAACCACTTCCTAATCTACTCATCTTCAACCTGAAACACGCCATTTCCTTTAACCCTTTCCTGGAGGAGTTTAATTTCAAACCCCAAAGCCACATTTATCGCATTTCTCCTCAATAAATGATTCCTGACATATAATATTAACATATAATATATAAATAATATTCTCCTAATTAATTGTTGCTATGACTTTTAAGTATTCTAAAATCTGGCCTTTGAATACTGGTGGTGTTAATAATTTGATCATAAAACTCAGTTACCTTGAAGCATTTGCTGTTTATTAGCAAAGACCTTTAAGTTGTAGAAGATTTACTTAGTCAATAGACTTGATGAAGATCTGTCATTGTGTTACCAAGCCCTCCTTTTATGAATAAGGGGCTGAGTTTTGACATCATTTTCTAAGGGGTTACTCCTCTTGCTACTGCCTTTTCATCTTATTGCTACCGAAAAGAAACAAACCAGTTCTGTCCCGTTACCCTGGCACTGTTGGAAAAGACAAGCCAGACTAGTTCCTTCGTATACATGCTGCCACATTTGCAGATATTTGAGTGTGACCCCTTCAGTCACGCTGGCAAACCAAAGGTCACGCTTTCTCAGATTCATTGTGGACCTATTACCTCAATGTAAAATGAAAAGCCCTGAACCGCTTCCCTTCAGGATGACATTCTAAGCCAATCTTGGGATCCTCAGAATCATTTGTTCCTAGCCCTCTGTCCTATTCAGATTGAGTAAAATGTGTGGAGCAACTTTGAAGATAGAAAATTTATGCTCAGAAGTCTCTGATTTCCAAAATTATCTCCCTTTTTTTTTCTTTCAAAAAAACAATCACATAGATTCTTCTTTTCAACCTCAGAAACCTCTACACATTGCACCACAAATGGTCCCAAGTCTGACTTTTCCAGAGCATGCATTGTTTTAGTAACAAAGGAGCATTTGTTTTGTTTCCCCCGAGAAATGCTGTCTCGGGGTCTCTGGACTCCAGGAATTACTCTGTTTTACATACAGGTTCTCTGCTGTGAGAACCCTACCACCTGCACTCTTTATGAAAAGAGAAAGCAGTTTCTCAGGCCGAGACTTAAGCAGCCCGGTAATTTACGGAACAGCAGTGATTTGCTAATGGTTTCCTCGTGAAGTGAAAACATGACTGCTCTCCTCAGATGCTTCCCACCAGGCCTGCCATAATTTCCGGCAGGTTATCAGCTGCAGCCCCTCAACTGTAACTATAAAAAGAAAAGGCAGGTCATTATACAGCGCTATGGCGGGGGCAGCTCCATAGACCCCGGGCTTTGGATGCAGAGGGCCAGATCGCGTCTTGTTTCTTTTCATGCTGACACTAATGTCAGGGATTGGTACAAATGTAGGCCTTAGGCTATTTTTGTTGTTGTTGTTTTATTTGTTTGGATTTTCTTTTTACCTGCAGTAAGAATAAACTCACAGTAATGCACTCACATTTTCTTTCTAAGTTATTTAAACCTCTCATGTGTCAGGGAAACAGAGCAAGGCTCATTGGCTTACCTAGAAATTGATACCATAATCTACATCAGCTCAGTCCTGTGTTCCAATCATCTCAACTAACCAGGCAAATAACACATTGTAATAAGAAACAGTTTACTGCCAAAACTAAGGACTTCACGGAAGAGTTCTAAGAGCATATTTACACAATAAAACATTTCCAGTGATACTTAAAAACACAAAATAACAACAAAATAAACAACATTTTTTTATATTATGTTATTCAAATTATGTAAGAGCAGCTGTTCATATAATTAATTAACAAATAGATGTATTCAAATATTAGACTGATCTTCCATTTATTTCTTAGATATCTACAATATTTTATATTTTATTTTAGATAATGGACAAGTTAAAATAGTATTTTTATTTAAGATGGCCACAAAATGATTTGCGAATTTCCCAAAGACTATGCATTTCAAACATGAGCATAAGTGAGTATAAGTATTGGTTATTGCAATCGATTAATAACAGCCACAATAAAAAATTTAGTAATTAAATTTTATGTGCTACATAATAAAATTAAAATTAACATATTAAGGAAAGACTATTTAGAAAATATTTTTTTTATTCCCTACCAAAATTTTTAGAGAATTATATAAAGTCCATGAATCAAAAATTATAGATTTAAGATTATCATCAATGTTGAAAAATGGCATGGTGATTAAACATAAGACAGCTAAAATAATTATTCATAAAATAATTATATTGGAGTTGTGACATTTAATTAATTAAGTGTAGGTAGTCTCAATTATATTAAAAGTGGAGAACATTTTAAAGGCATAAAACTAGATCTTTTTCCTGGGAAGAACTTCTCAGTGTCTAAGGGAGGCAGGTTCCCTGTTCTCACACATTACAGAGTTAAAGGTTCTGTGGTCCAAACTTCCAAGTTTTGATTGATCTTTCAAGTTTTTTAACCACAAATTTCCCAGATTTTAACTTTATTATTGCATTTGCTTTAGATGTAAAAAGTTCTGTTTCTGTGACCGCTAACCTATAAAATAAAGTAAGCTGAGAGGCGCAGGGAAATGCCTGGCCAAAAGAGGTATTGACGGAAAGTGGTTTTACACTAACAAAACAATGTTTGCAGCGGAAAAATTAAAGCTAGAGGTGACCCAAAAGGAATGTGTGAACTCCTGAGAGTAATAAAGATGTCCTTGGCTTATGAATCTCATGTTCTGTGACTGTGCACAATCACCAGCGAAGAAGAACAGGCGTACACATTTTAGGACAGCTACAAACCTCTTCCTGATTGAGCTCCATTTGAGTCCCCAACACTGAAACCCATCGATTCTGCAGATAACCATGCATGGATTTTGTACGGTGAGGCCTTGTCCATGGAGAAAATTTTAATAACTAGTACATCTTAAATATGCCTTTAAATTATGTGATGGTAGCAGTTATTTTTCATTTTCTATAGTAACCTAAGTTTTAGCGTGATAGCAAAATACAAGAAGTTCATTCAAGGAAGACCAATTGGCTGTGGTTGTTTTTCTAAGGCTGGGAGCAGATGTTGCAGAAGCCACCCCATCTATTCCTGAGCACAGCGTTCTAGTCGCCCTCTAATGACGCGGGGACCAGGAGGAAATCTGATCCCCCACACCTGCAGCAACTGTAACGCCCACAGTGCTGGACACCGTTCCATGGGCAGAAGCGCCGTCATTCAGGGCCAGGACTCCTGAGCACAGCTGTGGTTGCCATTGCTGTCCTGCTGCTCTCAGTAACACCGTGTAAGGCTCTGGTCTGGAGAAATGTCTCCACTGTTTTGAGTTGCTGTCATAGTGGAGTAGGTTGGTAATAGCAAGTAAGACACAAAACCCAACTATGATACGTTAGTGGGCAACAGACTTTGAAAATTAATTTTATAATTCTAATAAATAAGATTCTACCTACTTGATGAAGTTACGATTCTGTCATCTCAAAATGTGGTACTTTGCATGTTGACTCTTAGTAACTAAATGTGCGCGGAGAGCAACAGGTGCAAATGTACATTCCTCTTCCTGTTGA